TTACAATGTATATATATATAGTCGTGTTATTGAAATTTAAAAACCAAAACAATGCAAATTCTCCCTCTTGCAATATGCACGAGAAGTCATAGAATTTTGCAAGTTCTACTCGACGAAAAAAATTACTCGAAAAATGATCGAGATATATTTAAAAATTGTTCATGAATAAAAAAAACCATCTGAAAGAGAGCATAAAACCGTGTGTCTATGCCATTTCAAAATATTTGACCTAGCAATCAACTAACGAGAGACGTTATCCAAGTATCTAGAATCGATTTTGCATCTCCTTGAACTACACTGCCAAGCACTAGAATCCAGCAGATAGATATTTCCAAAATTTCTGCTTATTTCCATTTATTTCTACATTTGCGTCGCCTTGTCAATTATAAGAATTATATACTATTATAATAATTATACAATTATATAACGTATAATATATAAATACTAATGTGCACAAGCATTTAGACATTTCTAAATTATCATCATCAGTAAAAAAAATATAATCCAAATGAATCTCCTTAATTTAATCTCAACATATTCAATTAATAGATACAAATATCTATTATCTATTGTAACATTATAAAATAATAGAATTATTATATTATAATTATAATTGAAGACTCTGTACAATAATTTTAAGTACATTTGTTCATTCTTGAAAGTTTCCAGCTACGTTGAAAAGATTTATACTTATAAGATGTTACGAATCATCAGGCATCTGTTGAAAATAAATGTGAAAATGCAAAAGAGTTGGCAGTAGAAAATCGTTTGTCAATTGTAACAGAAATATCAAGCTGTACCAAAGTGTCCAATTATTTACGCACTTTGCCACACTTTATCTTTGTCTTATTATCAACTCTCCGTTAAACCACGAAAATATGCCAATTCTCTTGTCTGTAAAAATTATCGAGACGTCTAAATTCCTTTGAAAGTCACGACTTTCATCCCGGATTTTCCGAAAGCCGATCCGAAAGGTTGCGCCAATGCGCGGACATATGTATATTTAAGTAACTCCGTTGGTTTATACGACAGTGTATTGTCGACTGCATTCCAGTCCTTCTCGTCTTCCTCCTTTCGAGAATGCCCTCGTTAATCCGAGGATGAAAAAGGGTACCTCGAAATTTCGGTGCCAAAGGCGGAACTAAACACTCGTTACGCTTGCCACCGAAGATCCGGCCACGGCCTCGATACATTATTTCGCAGTTTCTCACGAAATAAAATAGATTTTCGCGCGACAGAAAGAGAATACGGGACCATCCGCGATATTGAGCCGCGTGATATAAACGCCACTTCAAAATGTAATTTATATTTAGAACGCGATCTGGGAACAGGATTTATAAATAATAATTAAATAATTTTCTATCGATCTTGATAATCTCGAAGATAGAATCGATCGATTTGGTAGAACCACGAATTGAATTTGCGATTTTATTTTATTAGTTACCTCCGTTCACTTCACACTGAATGTTCGTTCTAATTTGATCGTGAAACTTCGAAATTTCATCTCGTTCTGTAAATAAATAACCTACGAAAATTTATATACCTTTCAATTTAGGACACAGATCACTCCTCGTGGGATAATTTGGAAATTGTCCATAAATGTCTGTCATTAAAGTAATGTGTTCATTAGACTAATGCGTAACACGAAATGCAAAGGGGGAAAGAAAGGAAGAAACAAGAATTTCATTTCTCGTTCGTTATTATTAGAAGGTGGAATTTCTACCAAAATATTTTTTCCCCCTTTTTTTCTCTCTCTCGTTCGCGCGCTCTCACGAATATTATATATTTCTAAAACCTTGAATTTTTTTTCAACATCGTATTACCAACACGAGCACGCCACGACCTCAGGGTACGTACGTGTGTATGGGCACATGAATACGCGGTGAAAATAATTAAAAGCAGCGAGGTGAAGAGCAGGAAGAACGAACACTAAGAAAGTAGGAAACTTTTACTTTTGGAGAGCTGTCAAAGAGATTACTTCCAAAGAGCACGGGAGGAAATAATATATCAAACAAAAATACGTCTCACTGAACCAAAACTTGGAAGGGAATGACATTGAAGGGACCATCATTATTATGGAAAAATATACGACGACAACGACAGCTGCAAATATGGCAACGTTATGAAATAATCAACCAACGTGCGTTTTGCTTTAAATTAATTTTCAATGCGTTTCATTCATTTAAATTCGATTCAACGTTAACGTAAATTGCTTTTATCGTGAATCTTTTAACACCTGATGCATATTTTTAATAATATATTCTCAAACTGCAGCCCCATTGTAAACATGTAAATAAATATCGAGTTGCAACATACGAAATGCCCCAGTTTTAAGGTGATATCAAATTCTCATTTAAATTTTAATTAACTGCAGTATAAGAGTTATTACAATCTGCACATTTTTCCAATTAATCGTGAAAGTTTCCTAATTTATCATTTAATCACATCAATCGATTTCGTTATGAGTTTCTTAATGTAATAAAAATTTTATTCCATTTTTATCATTTTTTTTTTTTTTTTTTTATAAAAGTTCTGCTGTCGATAAATTTTTCCAACGATATTTTCGATCCATCCTGATTTATGAACGTATCTCCGCTGACAAAATGTTTTGGACGTTTCAAGAAATGATAATCAAAATTAAATAAAAACATATAAAAAGTAAAAACAAATTGAAATTGTATTCGACGAAATAAATCATTTGAAATTTGTATTTAAAACATCTCTAAAGATTTATCGAAATATTTATTGAAAAGCAAAATGCTTAAAACATTGATGCAACTGATAAATAGAAAGAACGTACATCGAACTAAAAAGCAAAAGCTTTAAAATAAAAGTTTAAGAAAAATATGAAGGATCGTTATTACGTGCGTATCGGTACGATATTTCACAATTAGTCAACAATTTGTCCCCCATCCGCATTTCTCAATTTCGAGCCTAAAATCGAGTAGGCCAATATTGTGAACGCAACCAAGCAGCATCCAAGATTTAATTAATTCATTTGCACACGGTCAAAGCACAGTCGGTGAAGGTTCATTAACGAGCATCAAATTGCAGTTTGAATACGAACGAGGCCTCGATCTCACGATCTGAGATGTTAACGATGGGAATCAACGGTCCATCTTCGCGTGGTAACAACGTTTCTCAGGGTGTCACGCGCGATAGTAGGTCAGGAATAGATCTATCTAGGCGTATTCGGCTTGCACCTAACGCGTGAAAAGAATTGGACACCGTAGAGAGTATTCCTATTACTTTTTCCCTCGGTCATTAAACATGAGCAAGAAACTCGGCGAGTTGTTATTTCACCCTTCGCTTATTTATTCATTCATTTATTTATTTATTTATTTATTTATTTATTTATTTATTTCTCGTTTATCGGTGAAACAAAAACGGTTGGCAAGTTACGAGCTGTTCCTTCCGCTTTAATAATTCCGGTCGGCCGGAAAAAGTTCCCGACGAGCGAAAAGTTGCGAAAGGGTCTGAAAAACTGCGCCTCGTTTTTGTTTAAATTTCAACGCCCGCCTGCGAAAGTGCAATTTAGAGCGTTGAAAATTTGGTTATATCACGTGCGATAACAATGACGTTTATTCGAAACCACTTTGCGAAACGAAAATTTTGGATCGTTGGAAAGTAACATGAAACGAAATATTCCTCTATCGTTAATACTGATGCGAAGATGTATAATTAAATGTAATAATTAAATAACGCACTAAGCTATCATTAATAAGAATAATAAACACAGGTATACTGAAACTCGTGTCACAATTGACAGAGTGACGATTCTACATGCAAAGATAAATAAAAAAAAAAACAACATTCTTTTTCATTTAAAGCTTCGTTTTCGTATAAGGCTTCGTTTTTTTAAGAAAATAGACTTTGAACATTAGTATACGTGTGTTTGATAAATTTTCAAAGTGAATTTTCTCAGAAACGTGCAGTGCCCAATAAAAAAATTTTATTTTACTTATTTTCAAACATAGAATAACCTCGTGTGAATTTAATTTCCTTCGTCCAGTCGGAAATTAGACAAATTCAAGTATGCTTTTTATTTGTTCCCTTCGATCTATTGTTTATTTTATTATTTGCCCTCTGTACATTTGTCAAAAATTCAATATTACGTAGTTAGAGAAGCTAAATCCTATTAAAAATCAATATGACGTCCAACTGGTCTATAATAACACATTCGAGAGGGGGATAACGGGTCTGTTTGTCTTCGGCAGTGACAGAAAATTACGTGATAAAAGCTTGCGCGCTGATTTCTGCAGAAACTTGGCCGTATCGATAAAATTCAATCGTCGAGAACTAAATTATGTCGGCCGAGATGGTACGGCGAATCTGTTGAATTAAATATTGTACGTTGGAAACAATACGACTTTTATTTCAGAGCTTTCACGCGCTTTTATTGCCACGTTGATATTGTTAACACTTGGAACATTTCCGATACAGATAGCTATTGCAGTTTTGTTAAATAATATATTATTATTACAGCAAAATATTTAATTATTATTATATGCGATTATATAATAATAATATAATATAATAAAATAATTAACACATATATTATACCTTATATTATTATATTATTATAATATGCGATTATATAATAATAATATAATATAATAAAATAATTAATACATTATATCTTATATTATTATCTAACATAACATGTTAGATTTATTAATATTTCAAGTTGTACAGGGGGAGGAAGGTCGACTTTATACCTTAAATGATCATTATTTAGTGCATATATACTAAAAGTCACTTTTCCTGAATTTATCTACGAAGGTTAAATCTTTTTTAATATTTTAAACTACTATACTGCTATAATCTCCAGTTACAGCTTTATACTACTATAATATTTATCCCCTAATAATAGTATACTATGACGCTCCACGGAATCATCACTGACTTCTAATCCTTTTGACTCGCATAAATATATTGTGCAGATTAACAAACCTTCGTCGTCGAGTCTCTCATAATTATAAAAAAATTGTTAAACGTACCTGTTGCGAGATTGAAACGGGCAACAATCATCAGGAACGCCGCGAGAATAAACCATCGCAGCACCGACGAAACCGAAGAAAGTGTTCCCCTTGATCGCGTCATGTTTGGTCCTTTTCTTCTTCAACTCGGTCACAGCTTATTCTCGTGCATGTCTGCAAATTATTCACAATGATTCGTCACTTGATTGTCGAACACCATGACTCTTGATTCTTAAATCATAAAAATAACTAAAACCTAACTGAATAAAAAACACCGTAAGTGTAAAATATCAAATTTTATCAAAACGAAGAAACAAACTGACTGTTTATTTAAATTTGCAAATACTATAGTTGCTAATCCCGTTTGTTCCTGGATTATTCGTATATGGAAAAGCAAAAATTTTAAAATCAGTTTTTTTAATATATTAAATATATTATTAATTTTAATATATCAAAAAATTTCATTATTAATACAAATTAAACATTAATTTCTTAATGTATCTTTTTCACATTCAAGCGAAACGTATCCACTAGAATACAGTAATGAGTGGAAATATTTGACGTTTGGCACTTACAGTGTTCCCTCGAAAGGACTCTTGAATTATATTGTAATTAAACTGAAAATATTTTACGACTTGTACGTGTAACAATATAACAATTTACTAGGTCGCTATAAATTTACCAGCTTGTCGGATGGACTTTGTACTGATCAGACGACTAGAAAACGATATCTAACCTAGGCTAGAGGCGTAACAGCGTCGAGAGGGAAGCGAGCAGGTTCTCGGTGCTCGCCGTGCAATTAAGTTCAAGTTAAAGAGAAAGCACCGGCGTAATACATTCGCGCGGCCGGATCGTGTAATTGTTCCCGCGGTGAAATTGTGTAAATTGGACACGGGCCGCGTTGTGAAAACCCGCGATACCGGGGAGAATTCGACGAAACGAGTGAGAATGAAATCGAAAATGACGACAAATTGGCGTAACGGGAGGACGAGCCTGGTTGAATTGAATTTTGACCACCGGTTTTTTTTTCCAACTTGATTTGTCCCTCGGCGTCGAGTCGACCAAAATTAATAGCCACGATGAAAAGTTGAATGACTAATTAAATTCGCAAATTTAAATTTCCATTAACTATTAGAAAGAAAGAAAAGTTAATAAAATATAGTATCTATATTTTATTATAGTAATGGTAAAAGTATAAAGATGATTCCAATATTAAATAACTATATCGCAGCTATTAATTTATCGAAATATCAATTATAACTATCGAAATCACAATAAATGACAATAATCACCGTCTATTGACAATAAGCAAACTTATTTACTTTTTATTCGTTTCATTTTTATTTCAATTATTAATCTATAATTTTTTTACCAACGTACCAATTTGACACCAAGGGACAAATTATGTTGAAAAAATGATATACCTAATGACACCAGATAAATATCAAGTAAAATAATTAAATAATGATAATTTAAATGATAAAGATATCAGGCATAGACTTTAAATATAAATACAAGGTTGCGTCACTATAAATACATAAGGTTACAGTGACAATAGCGTAGGAAGAATGTTGAGAAGCCGACGACAAATTATCACGATGATTTGTGCCGCGTTTTTGCGCATCGCGATTTCACTTTCGACGATGTTAGTGACCGTAAATCGAACAAATTGACATTACGCGAATCGAAGCTGTCAATCAACTTGACATACTACGAAGACTCTCAGAATCAATCGACTACCTCGCGACGTTGCTACCGCTTTGAAAAAGAAATCTGATTTCTTTTTACACTGTTGCTTTTATCCGACTGTTAAACTAATAGTTCAATTTTACTGGCACACTTGATGCGGGCATATATAACACTTCCGTTTTTCCAGTGAAATATATAAGAGAGATTTCTTAGTTAAGAGAAATATTTACATAATAAAAACATATGTTTCTCTCCGCGTCTTCATACAACCGAGTAATCGTAACAATTAAACTTGTTACTTTGATACTAGGAAACGTTTTTGTAATTGTAACGTGTATCGTTTGTACAAACCAGCAATTTGTGAATCACTAAACGATTTATTACTGTGTACTTAACTATTTCCTTCCACGATAAGAAAAAACTGAGATAGAAGTTTCTCTCGTATAAATTATTCAAAGACATCATTGCTAATATGAAATCTAAGGATTTCATACATATGGAAATATTTATTATATATAATAAACTTCTCGACCCTTCTGGAATAACTCTTTCATACTCCACAAGTTTCTCAGATTTCAAACATCATCATTGTATTAAAATTTGTAAATGAGATAAAAAAAGAGACATTTAAATGTGTCCTTCTTTAAATATTTCCAAATATATTATTATACTCTCATAGATATTCGGGTTTTTGATTTTTTGGACACTGAACTCTTACAACACCGTGAAGAAAAAGTCATTTTGAAGTTTTTACTTCTACCGACTGTATTTATTAAATCGACTGTTTTTCACTATTGTTATTTTCTATCTACCTTCTTGCAAGTGAACCTTATTTCTTCGTCACGCGAATAACGTAGAATGCTGAAGGAAATAACTGCGTACGCGATAAAATAACACAAACGTAGAATATACGTACAGAGGAAATAAAATTCTCCAGTAAACGCAACGATTAGATTATCACGTTTCTTCTACTTTCCAACCTGAGAACGACTCGAGAGCATTTACTATGCTGAAGAAACGGTACACCCATAAATTAACCCGCGTATTACCTTACCTCAACCGCGTAGCTATGCAAATGCTTATGCATCACGGCGTTTGACCTTGATGAAACGCAGAGTCTAGGAATCAGGTGGAGGAGCGAAACGTTGATGCGAGACCGAACGCTGGGCGAAGAAGGCACGAGAGTTAAACTCGGGTACAGGTGAAACAGCGAACCTACTTTAAAGTAGCAAACGGATGAAAGCCGTTATAAATATTTCCAGGCGTTCTAAGTGTAAGGACGCGGGGCGGCGCGGCGCACCGCTTTCTCGCGAGAGGACGATCCGATTAGAGCGATCGTGGAGATGGTCGGGCAATCGGATACACTGTTTTAACCGAATTCTCCGGATTATTATCCCTTGCCGGGGCGCTGTTTGTTCCAGGATGGAAAAGATAAGAGTTTTAGTATAATTCCGGAGGAGGATGACGTTTATCCTACTCCGATTGATTCGCGTGCTTTATACCATCCGAACAATAGGAGTTTCGTTTCCCCTTTTTCCAAGTCGGACGACTGCGATCGCCATTTCAAGCATTTAAATTTTGACGATTTTCAGTATCGATATAGTTCTTCCATTACTTGTATTTTAAAGTAGTTTTGTAAATTCATATTATCAGAGCCTTTGTAATTTATCGAAGAAATTGTCAATGGTGTTTTCGAGAATTACAGAGATTACCACGATTATATTATAGTTATTTGTCTATGGTGATATTTTTACTTTTATTTCGGATCATAACGATCTATATACGAATTTATGTATGATGAACTATATGTCGTTTATCGCTTGCGTCGACTACCACACGAAATTTGTATACTTGGGACAAAATATTTAATTTTTGTAGTAAAAGTGTAAAACACAGTTTTTTTCTTTTTAAATTTTGCTTGTCGACGATATTCATTCTACTATAGTCGCTCTAAATTATTCGTAGGAATTATAAATTATAATTTATAAGAAATGTAATTTAATTTTTATAGCAAAAGTGTAATGCGAATGTTTTATTTATATTACTTCAAATTTCGCTTGTCAACGATATTCATTCCACTTTGGTCGCTCTAAATTATTTGTAGGAATAGAAATAATCGGTCATTAACGACAACTGTCGCGATCAATCTGTCGAAAGACCGTTAGTCAAAAATTCGCTCGACTATATTTTCCTCGCGCTACTTGACATCGGAACGACGGAAAGATCCGTGAAACCGATCAATTCTCGATCAGATGCAAATGTCCGACGTTCAGTCCACGGAGCTAGTCAAGCAATATGCAAATGAAACCTGCGGTTTCCAGTGACCCGACGCGACGTCGCAAGATCGTCGAGGATCCAGGCGAAACCACGACGCGACGCGACGAAGGAAGCGCTTTAATAAGAAGCTCGTAAACGGCGTAACGATACTTCCGTTCCGCGCACATACGCCACAACCGAGCGGCGAAACTTTCGCTCAATTACGTGTCTCACGTTGCGCGAGTGAACGGTATCTGCTGCCTTGATGGCGCGAGCACGCACCTTGCGCGTTATCATCCAGAACCGGACCACGTCCACGCGAATAAAAATCTGTTATTCAGGCATTTATTATATTTAAGATGTTTAAGCCGATGGAGGATGGGTAACAATTTATTAATTATTAATCGAGGCTTTGTAACAGTCCGAGAAACGCGAGTTTCGAATTATCATTGCGAGAACATCCCTCGATCAATTGTGAAAATATCTTTATAATTTTGTCGACAGAGAACAGCGATATGATTCGTGTAATATTCTACAAACGCGTTTCATTACGTGAATTTTGTCTTCGTTATCATTGTGAGAATTTGTCCTCGCTATCAGGTGATAATTGCTAACAAACCACGTACAAATAACGTAGAAATATTTCACTCAAGAGGTAGCTTGCTACTAAGGACAGTTAGCAACAAATGATCTGCAATGTTAGTGTCAAGGAGAAATATTTATTATTTGAAACTGCGTCTTTTTCTTTTTATTTAATTAACTAAATAATGTCTAACGTCTGCTTGAAAACAATTTCTCACTTCTGCCGAAAAACATACTTCTTTCAAATTGTGTAATTTCTTTCGCAAGCGAGTGACATGAGAATCTTCCAAAAGTAACTCTCGCAAGATTTGTTACTTTTTGGAAAAAAAAATCATCTATTGACTATCTACCGTGAATCGTGCGTATTTGAAATGCCATGGAAACCGACTTTCATCGTTTCATAATTCTATCCGCCCCGCTTATTTCCTAATTAGTTATTTGAATTACATGTATTTACGTTAGAGTTGGTACGAGTGAATTCCTGAGCAATTGCTCGATTGAAGTTCCCCTCCAATGAATCATTCGAAACTTTTCATTCGCTGTGACAACGTAGAAAATATATGGAAACGACAGTGGTTCATTTTCCCTGGCATCATTTTCTACTCTAATTCTGTTTCTCAAAGCGTGGAAATAATCTTATCGAAATATAACAGAGATCGACGTTTTTCTTCTCTCGTGCGAATTTGATTTTAAATTTATGTAAAAGTATCTTTGCAAATTTCAAAAAAAAAAAAGAAAAAATCCCGTTTGCAAAACATGAAATGTAAGAGCAAAAGACCTACGATTTCTCCTGCTCGATCCTTCACAATCTCGTTTCATATTTCCGGAATTTCAAAATGCACAACCTCAATCCTGTTGCAACTATAGTTACCATCGCCAGATTGCCTAACTTCCTAATCGATATCGTTTAATCAAACATTACTGGAAGAGACACGAACCTAGTCTTCAGTTATTAAGCGTACACATATCCTGTCCCTTGGACTAAGTAATTCAACTATTGAGATCCAATGACTTGGAACTCTGTCAAAATTAGATGCTCAATCACATGATATTCTCACAGGTTGCAGTAAATTTTTCTATCCTAAAATAAAATATACCTAATTGTAATCAAATTGCTCTCTATTGATAATTATATGTAACGATGCAACACTTTAGTATACGACTTTGGTCAAAATTCCTTTTCAGTATTCAATTCCGATCAATTTTGAATCTTACAATAGTGTATGATTGTTCAATTTAAAGAGAATTTAGAAAATCCCCATTGCATATTTCCCAATAGAGTCACATAAACATAGTTCCACCTTTCGACACCTCTATACACTTACCATTATTTAACAATTTAGCGTGCGAGAATCGAAAAATATCGGATCGTGTCGTGTATTTTTCATCGAGTTCAGATCAGATTCCCGAAAGAGTCGAGTTAATCGGAAAATTTTGAAATAAAATATATACACCCAAGTATCGCACATTTGGATGTTATTTCTACCCAGATATGTTCTATCTTTCGTAATTTCAGAATTCTCGGGAAATCCGACTCTGTCTGGAATCTCGAACATTATCGAGTTCCCGACGATTTTCGGATTCTCGCACGCCTCTCTACCCCGTTTGATAATATCCGACGCAACCAAACAACCTCGACGAAGATTCGGTACCAACCGTTTTATCGATCACAATGCTCGCTTCCTGTTCCACGATCTCCAAGTACAACGACAAACCGCCAGAAACCAAACGAGCAACGCGGACACAAGAGGCGCGAGGACAGCACGCGACACTCGTTATCCGAATGAGCTGTCCGGACGGTCCGGACAAGCTCTAATAAAGAATCGGCACGAAATTCACGACAAATCGCGGCCTCCCTCCTTGTCCAACCGATTTCAGGACGAAACTTTCGCCCAGTTTCGCGTTTCACGTTTCACTGGTGACTGGCATTGGCCGCGGTCGTACCGGCGGCGGCCGTGCGTCCACCACTTTCGGTCCACGAGGTTCCCCACGAGCACGACTTTCAACTTTATCGTATCTACGGCTCGAGATACGCGTGAGCAGATCGCTTGTGCCCTGTTTGCTCGCGTTCCCTCGACTTCATCCACGTCGCCCCGGCCAAGGAACGGGCAAATGGTACGCGCGCCTAACCGCCGTTGGTATATCCAACATTCACCCCCCTTTTACGCGCTAGAACTACGCTCGTCCTTTCGCTTTCAACGGCCGCTGACCATCGCATCGGCCGAATGGAAAATAGCCCGAGTTTTTCTCGAGCGATGAACCAACAGATTATGAAAAAATACTGGAAAATAACGGAAAGTAGAAGTTTCGAAGGATTAAATACGCTGTTGGAATGATACTCGTTGGAGTTTAAAGTTAATTTGAAGATCGAAGCTTTTTGGATTTGAGTTTGTGTTTAGTGTTGTTAGAAGATGAAGGATTTGCAAATTTTCTGATTAAATAAATTTCAATAGTTCCAATGTTAATTTTTAAAGGTGCCAGCTTCGCGAACTTATTTATTAACTTATTATCAATAAGTTAATAAAACTAAAGAGAAGAAATTTGTAAAATATACAGAGTTCGATATAAATATATTGTTTCGGGCACGCTATTTATTTACATAGACTGTAGCCGAATCTTCATAGGTGGCAACTTTAAGGGCGAAAGGATTAAAAACAATCATCGCTATTGAACACGTGCAAACGTGACAACAGCGTAAAATGTTTCACTGAAATATCTTTACCATAAAATATTCCACTTACTCGTGAAATCAGATAAAAGGCGAAAGCCACATTTAACATAACGTACAAATGCAGTTCCTTATTGATTGTCAACTTTCAAGTAAAACTATAACACCACGTTCGTACTTTTCATTTACAGGCTGAAAGGCTTATTTCAAACAAAAGGAATCGAATTTTTGTTCAATACCGATCGCAATAACAATCACGTTATTTCTCTTACATCGTTACAGCTTCCCAAAACTTGAAACGTTCCTAATAAAAGTGTTCCTCTCAGCTGCTTGGAATTATTATTACGATGATAGACTCGAACAAAAATATCGCTGCTTCCTTTCACGCGATCGTTTTCCATCCACTTACTATGCCGCACACGTTCGTCTCAAACTTCGCTCCGACAGAATCTTTCATTCTTCACTTTCTTTCGCTGAAAGTAGGAACGTACGTTCGTTTCAGTCGAAGTTTCCGTTATTAGAGAATCAAAAATCTCCCGAAGCTGTCGCAAGGACACGCGTACAGGCTCGCAGCGATACGTGAGGGGAATTTTCCCAGTTCGCCGGTATACATACAGTTCTGTGCAACAAATAAGATTCCTCAGACTTCCAGGGCCAAGGTCCCTACGGTTGATACTATCCGATGTTTCCGGCGCATTCTTCTCGAATGTACCACTCTCTCGTCAGTTTTATCACCAGTTACATGATTGCTTAATACAGGCTAAATTACTCAAAGCAGACCCACTTGAATATCTTGACGATAGAAGAAAACTACGTCAGTCTAAATTTGCTTGATGCACATAAACTGATATTAACAATTTTTTGATAGTGGACATTTCAATTTCATTTCCTTTTTTTCAAATGGCTTCACATAATTTTTAATAAATCAATGAGTCGTACACTCGTCAATCTTTACAAAAAATTGTAAAATCTACAAGCGTGAGAGACAAAAGGGAAGACCTAACCGATTCATTCTTGCGTTCATATTAGAATATAAACCATGTGATTACCGCATCGAGTTTCGACAACTATAGCTAGGCAACTGGCATCGAACCGGAAGAATTCGCGACAAAACAATACTCGCGATTGCAATCTGTGCGCCAGCGTCGACAAGAACCTTCCAAGGTAATCGGTCGAATTAACCGAGGAAAAGTGAACGCAACGCGGACAGAATCATGCAAATAAACGGAGAACAGCGGGGGCACGATTGTTTTTGCGGCATGGCGAACCGAGACGCTAGTACTCAGAACCGAAAGAAAAGCCACGTTAATAAAGAGAAAATGCGTGTTTCTGCAATCGACGTAAAAACAATTTACCGACCGCAAAATTGAAGGAAAATGATGTTGCTCTATTAAACTCGTACCGAGAATACTGATTATCATTAAGTAAGAGCGTAGGATCAATTTCTTGGAACGTTTGTTCCCTCACGATCCACGATCGTTTCACACTAATTTGAAACAGATGTTTTTCTTCTTCGGTCGAAAGTTTAATCTGATAGTTAAAACTTATGTTCGCCTATGAAAACTGCGAAAAGAGATCTTTTTTTTTTTATTGAGAATTTAACGAGTTGGTTGATGTAGAAAGTTATACTTCTTCTTTCGACAATCTATTATAACATTGTAAAATTAAGCAAATTGAGCAAATAATTTTTAAACCTATTTTTAAACAAGTTCTGTTGAATACTAACTAATCCTAAATTCTCAATGTAGATGTAATACACAGATGAACATTATATCATTACATCAAGAGTATTACAAAAGAATTTCTTCATGGAAATTAAAATTGCTCAATAAAAAGAAAAAAATGACGTAATCACTAAGCATAAATGTTCATCAGCATCGTTCATTGTGGATAACAACTATTATTGAAAATATTATAATAATTATCTACTGACAAAGACTATTCCATTCAGTAATATACATTTAAAAAAATATATCCATTCCGTTGATATTTCATTTCGTGTCGTAGATCTTTAATTCCAGAAATCCCGTCATAAATCACAATTCCAAATTCATTCATCTTCACCGCGGACCAAATATGTGGAAACGACTTCATATTTAAAATTTATTGGCTATTTTCACGAGGCGGGCAGATCTCCTTCGGGCTGGTTCCATTTTGATTTATGGGACAAATATAAACGCTATGGGAGAAATATAAACACAGACAAATTTCGCTAAAACATTCATACGACAAGTCGTAATAATCTTTTATCCCCGTGCATTCCCCTCGTGTTTCGATTACTCGAGTTAGCATATTTCGAACATTCCCTCTTGCACGAGGAAACCAATTTTTCACCATACTGCTTCTCAAAAAATTTCTTTCTTTCGAAAGTTTAACAGCTTAAATTCTGTTACTCGGAGATTTAAGAGATTACTCAGTCGAGAAGTTCGTTTCGAAGCGATTAATTAGCCGCGCAATTAGTCGTTTCGTTAATGATGTCTTGCGACGCTTGAATAACGATTATTCAGAAAGTTTATTAAGATCTTGATCGTAGACTGATCAGTCTAGAACAGTCATAATTGAATACGACGGGTTTCACTGAACTGTCGTGGAGTTTATTCATCACCGGTGCAAGCTTTTCACGACTGATGCAAAGCAGTTTCACCATTGACATTTACGTGGCATTAGATATTCTGCCTAAAGATAACGAATGCTTCGTAACGTCCCCATTTTCCTTCCAATTGTGAACGAATCTTGAATGAAACATACGTCAATTATGTTTATTTGAAATTTTTATTTTCCTCGTTGATTAATATCTTCTTTAAGTTAGTAATTCAACAGCGTAATTCTTAAGTTCAGACTTAGAGTTCAGAACTTAAGTTATTTATATAATAAAATTAATTTATATAATAATTAATATAATAATTTATATAATAAAATTAATATGCACTTAGTTGATAATAATACCAATATAATAAACATTTCTATTTAGTTGATATAATAAAAGTCCATGATTCTCCCTTTACTAGTGATTTCTCGTTCGTATAATAGAAGTTCAGGCTCACACAAACGAATACAACCAATAGGAGTTCGTTTAATCGGGTACGAGATTAAAATTTGGTTCAAACGAATGAAATCTGTATAAACGGAGTTTGGACTTGATCTCACCGACCTGGAAACAGTCCGCAAAACGTTTCGCGAGATCGCGTGATCGACAGTCAAAGAACGGCAAAGGACAATCACGCTACGAGTAGTATAGTCACGATCGGCGCCATATCGTCTAAAGACAACCGCGTCTTTTCTTTCGTTCACAACCTTCAGCCAATGAAATTATAATGGGAATGGAACGGCAGGCACGTGCTGATAAATGAATGTATTTGACGCGATACAAGGTTAACAAATACACGGTTAGAAACGGCCATAAGAAAACGAGACACAGAGAAAAACTACAACGAAAAGAGGAGGACCGAAGGGGGGAAAAAATTCTGACGAGGATTGAGAAACCGAGAGGAGGAAAATTAATAGGTTAAACAAGCTTGCGTGAAAGCTGGAATTTTTACTATTCACTTCATTGTAACGAGATTTAACAACGAGATTTCGCGTAATTTCTTGTATAATTGCGTCGATAGTTTTTATGGAACGAACTACCATAAGATTCAGTTTCTAAGATTATTTTTATTGCCGAGAGAAGAAAACAAAATCCGTGGGATTTATTTGAAAACCAGTCTTGTGAAATTGTAGTAAGGATAATTGTTTTATAAACGTTAACTTTTATCAAGTATATTTATATTTATATTTATTATATCAGATTTATATTCGTATATTTGTTTTAACGCAGGTTCCACGAAACAGACCCCGATCTGTCTTAACTCTGATGGAAAATTGCATTGCAAAAAGTGGGATACTTTCATTTTCAATAGTAATTAAGATGTGGGCTCAGCTGAGAAATGCAGGATAAGTAGGAGTCGGTTGTGGTTGGACAGTTTAGTATGTAATGACTCGTTTGTACCTACAGTAATAGCATAGATCTCTGTCACGTCGTAAAGCTATCTGAACACTTGCATAAAACAACATTGAACAGGATATGTAAATGTTATCAAGGAATTGTCGACATTTTTTATACACACCTAACAATTCATGTCATTGGAATTACATTAATATGAACAAAAGTATAATCAAACATTATAAGATGCGGAGAACATTTACAAAAAATTTTTACAAAGAAAGAAAAGCAGATGTATCTTTCCAAGATACCAGGCAAATATATTTTGTACATTATACATCGTACATCCGCGGGAATGATTTCAATCGATTCGAGGCGTGAAGCAACAACAACACTGCAGCCGCCAAATAGAAAAACACCCTCGCGAAAAAATCTGGTCCCTCGGCGGTGTTCCGCAGGTTGAAGAAACACAATCGATGCGTCGTTTGTACCCCGGCCTCTCCCCGGCCTGTTTCGAAAATGAAAAATTCCCATTGT